AGACAGGCCCTGTCTTAGTCATCTAGTGCTGCTCCAACAGAAATACCACAAGTGGATGGCTTTACAAAGAGAAATTTATTCTCTCACAGTCCAGTAGGCTACAAGTCCAAATTCAGGGCACCAGCTCCATGGGAACACTTTCTCCATCGGCTCTGGAGGAAAGACCATGTCATCAGTCTTCGTTTGGTCTGGGAGCTTCTCTGCACAGGAACCTCAGGTCCAAAGGATGCGCTCTGCTCCCAGCACTGCTTTCTTGGTGGTATGAGGTTCCCATGTGTCTCTGCTTGCTTCTCTCTTCTATATCTCAAAAGAGATTGCATTAAGACACTGATCTTGTCAACCTCATCAGTATAACCTCATCACAGTGATAGAATTTACAACACATGAGGAGATCACATATAATCTCATCAAAGTGGTAGAATTCACAACACATAAGGACATCACATAAAATACCACAATCATACAATACTAGGAATCATTACCCAGCCAAGTTGCTACACACATTTTTTGGGGGACACAATTCAATCCATGACAGCCCCATACAACAAAATGAGACTAAATGGGCACACCAGACCAGCAGCAGGGACGAGAAGGCAGGAGAAGACAGGAAAGCTGGTAATGCGGAACCCAAGGTCAAAAAGGGGAGAGTGCTGACATGTCGTGGGGTTGGCAACCAATGTCACAAAACAGTATGTGTATTAATTGTTTAGTGAGAAACTAGTTTGCTCTGTAAAGTACAATAAAAAAGTAAAAAAAAAAAAAGACTTCTCAGTACAGATAGGTAATTTGTTGCTTTCACCTAATGGGGTCTTGGAGCCCTCGTGGCGCAGTGGCTAAGAGCTCAGCTGCTAACCAAAATGTCAGGAGTTCGAATCCACCAGCCGCTCCTTGGAAACTCTATGGGGAAGTTCTACTCTGTCATATAGTGTCACTATGAGTTGGAATTGACCTGATGGCAACAGGCTTAATGGGGTCTTGGCCCAGGTCATCATAATGTTTATTATGAGCAGAGCTTAATGTAGGTGTTGACAGGAATAAACTCTCTTCTGGTTGGCCTCAGTAATCCAGACCAAAATAAACATCTAGTGGATTACATATTCTTAGGATATACCCTTAGATATCCTTAGGATATGTCTGGGAAACCGGAAAATCTCAGAAGGAATTTGTTCTCTGAAATTCTAAGGATCATACATTACCTAGAGCTGATCCTGATTACCTGTTTTACTTATAAAAAGACTTGAGAAGATGAGTGGAAAACCACCAGGCTTGGAAATATGCCAGGGTTAATTACTGCTTGCTGCTTTCAATTCCTGTTTGTTTACCATTCTCTTAAGTTAATTAAGCAACTTAATACATTCATACCATAGAACTTTAACTGAGGAGATGTGGAATGAAATACTGTGGTTTTATGCAAATAATGAATACCTTCTACTTTCGTTTCCCAGTCATTCCCCACCTCCCACCCTACCCCCTCCAGGTATTTTTATAAGCACGATGCTAATTTTTTTTTTACAATAACATGCTAGAAACTGCAATCAACGGTAAACCAATAGTATGTTGTTGTTAGGTGCTGTCCAGTCAGTTCCGACTCATAGCGACCGTATGTACAACAGAACAAAACACTGTCCAGTTCTGCACCTTCCTCACAATCATTGCTATGTTTGAACCCATTTTGCAGGCACTGTGTCAATCCATCTCACTGAGGGTCGTCCTCTTTTTCAGACTCTTTATCTTACCAAGCATGATGTTCTTCTCCAGGGAATGGTCCCTCCTGATAACATGTCCAAAGTACCTGAAGCAATGTTCCAGCATCCTTGCTTCTAATGCGCATTCTGGCTGGATTTGCTCATTCTCCTGGCAGTCCATAGTATATTCAATATTCTTCACCAACACCACAATACAAAGGCATCAATGCTTCAGTCTTCCTTACTCATTGTCCAGCTTTTGCATGTATATGAGGTGACTGAAAATATCATGGCTTGGGACAGGGGCACCTTAATCCTCAAAGTGGTATCTTCGCTTTTCAACACTTTAAAGAGGTCTTTTGCAGCAGATTTTTTCCCAATGCAGTATGTCGTTTGATTTCTTCACTGATGCTTCCATGGGTGTTGACTATGGATCCAAGTAAAATGAAATCCTTGACAACTTCAATATTTTCTCTGTTTATCATGCTGTTGCTTATTGGTCCAGTTGTGGGAATTTTTGTTTTCTTTATGTTGAAGTCTCATCCATATTGAAGACTGCAGTCTTTGATCTTCATCAGTAAGTGCTTCAAGTCCTCTTCACTTTCAGCAAGAAAGGTTGTGTCATCTGCATAATGCATGTTGTTAATGAGTCTTCCTCCGATCCTGATGCCGTTTTTCTTCATATAGTCCAGCGTCTCTAATTATTTGCTCAGCGTACAGATTGAATAAGTCTGCTGAAAGGATACAACCCTGACACACACCTTTCCTGATTTTAAACCATGCAGTATCCCCTTGTCCTGTTCAAACGACTGCCTCTTGGTCTATGTACATTTTCCTCAGGAGCACAATTAAATGTTCTGGAATTTCCATCCTTCACAACGTTATCCATAATTTGTTATGATCCACACAGTCGAATGTCTTTGCATAGTAAATAAAACACAGGTAAACATCTTTCTGGTATTTTCTGCTTTCAGCCAAGATCCACCTGACATCAGCAATGATATCCCTCGTTCCACATCCTCTTCTGAATCTGGCTTGAATTTCTTTCAGTTCTCTGTCGATGTACTGCTGCAACCACTTTTGAACAATCTTCAGCAAAATTTTACTTGTGTATGATGTTAAAATGATATTGTTTGATAACTTCCGCATTCTGTTGGATCACCTCTTCTTTGGAATGAGCACAAATATGAATCTCTTCCAGCTGGCTGGCCGGCTAGCTGTTTTCCAAATTTCTTAGCATAGGCAAGTGAGTACCTCCAGTGCTGCATCCATTTGTTGAAATGTCTCAACTGGTAATCCATCAATTCCTGGAGCCTTGTTTTTTGCCAATGCTTTCAGTGCAGCTTGGACTTCTTCCTTCAATACCACCAGTTCTTGATCATATGCTACCTCCTGAAATGTTTGAACATCAACCAATTCTTTTTGGTACAGTGACTCTATGTGTTCCTTCCATCTTCTTTTGATCCTTCCTGCATCGTTCAATATTTTGCCCATAGAATCCTTTAATATTGCAACTACAGCCTTGAATTTTTTTCTTCAGTTTTTTCAGCTTGAGAAATATCATGAGTGTTCTTCCCTTTTGGTTTTCTAATTCCAGGTCCTTGCACATTTCATTTCAATGCTTTACCCTGTCTTCTTAAACTACCCTTTGAAATCTTCTGTTCAGCCTTTGCTTCTTTTCTTCCATTCCCTTTAGCTACTCTATGCTCAAGAGCAAGTCTGAGTCTCTTCTGACATCCATTTTGGTGTTTTCTTTCTTTCCTATGTTTTTAATGACCCTTTGCTTTCTTCATGTATGATAACCTTAATGTCATCCCACTACTCATCTGGTCTTCAGTCATTAGTGTTCAGTGTGTCAAATCTATTCTTGAGATGGTCTTCAAATTTACGTGGGATATACTCAAGGTTGTATTTGGTTATTATGGGCTTGTTTTAATTTTCTTCAGCATCAACTTGAACTTGTGTATGAACAAATGATGGTCTGTTCCACAGTTAGCTCCTGGCCTTGTTCTGACTGATGATATGGAGCTTCTCCATTATCTCTTTCCACAGATGTAGTTGATTTGATTTGTGTTTTCCATCCAATGAGGTCTACATGTATAGTCACTCTCTATGTTGTTAGAAAAAGGTATTTGCAATGAAGAAGTCATTGGTCTTGCAAAATTCTACCATGAGATCTCCAGCATCGTTTCTACCACCAAGGCCATATTTTCCAACTACATATCCTCCTTCTTCATCTCCATCTTTCACATTCCAATCACCAGTAATTATCAATGTACCTTGACTGCATGTGTGATCAACTTCAGACGGCAGAAGTTGGTAAAAATCTGTTTATCTTTGGCCTTAGTGGTTGGTGCGTAAATTTGAAAAAGTCATTTTAAATGGTCTTCCTCATAGGCATATGGATATTATCCTATCACTGACAGCGCTCCACTTCAGGATAGATCTTGAGATGTTCTTTTTGACGATGAATGTGATACCATTCCTCTTTGATATGTCATTCCTGGCATAGTAGACCATGTGACTGTCTGATTCAAAATGGCCAATACCAGTCCATTTCAGCTCACTAATGCCTAGGATATCGATCTTTACATGTTCCATTTCATTTTTGACAGCTTCCAATTCTCCTAGATTCTTACTTTGTACATTCCACATTCCGGTTATTAATGGATGTTTTCAGCTGTTTCTTGTCATTTTGCCACATCAGCAAATGAAGGTCCTGCAAGCTTGACTCCATCCACATCATTAAGGTCAACTGTACCTTGAGGAGGGAGCTCTTCTCAAGTCATATTTTGAGTGCCTTCCAACCTTAAGGGCTCATCTTCCGGCACTGTATCAGACAATGTGCTGCTGCTATCCATAAGGTTTTCACTGGCCAATTTTTTCAAAAGTAGACCACCAGGTCCTTCTTTCTAGTCTGTCTGAGTCTAGAAGCTCCACTGAAACCTGTCCATCATGGGTGACCCTGCTGGTTTTTAAAATACCAGTGGCATAGTTTCTAGCATCACAACAACAAGCAAGCCACCACAGCACAATAAACTGACAGATGCATGACGGAGTCAATCATATACTACTCTACATCAAGGTTAGTGTTAAGACTTCTCAGAAGATACGTGTTCCAACGATCACATCAAAGAATTTCCAAAGTTATGTAGAACACAGGTTGCATACTGGGAGCAAATGGACTGGATATAGCAAACACACGTGCTTTATTTAGGTTCCTGGGTAGTACAAATGATTTCTCTGTAGCTGTTAATCTACAGTTGGGCGATTCAAACCTACCAGTAGCATCATGGAAAAAAGGCCTGGCAATCTGCTTCAGTGAAGATTGCAGACAAGAAAACCCTACAGAACCGTTCTATTCTGTAACACATAGGGTATGTCATAAGTTGGGATCGACTTGATTGTAGCTGGTTTTTCTTAGTGTTTTGTTTAGTCCTCACAATACTTTATAAGTTATTCTTTTGAAAGCAGAGCAGAGTTTCTCAATGATGAGGCTCAGCAAGAGGCCTTGATAGAGAATGACAGGTATGGGAAGTTAGGAGTTAAATTTAAAAAAAGAATGTGCAAAATAGAGAACAGGAATGCACTGCTACAATTGATATACCAAGAGCAGCGATTCAAAAAGAGAAAGCAATGATGGAAAGATAATCTAATTCTATTACTGATCTCACCAGAACCAACTTTTCATTTCAAAGACTAATTTAATTACTTCCAACATCTTACCTCTTCTTTCATTACCCTCCATAATCTTCTTCCTCTATCTTACTTACGAACAGAACAGAACAGAACTGAAAGGCCTGAACTACCGAGTTTTGAGTGCTAAGAACTGCTCAGCTCCAGTGTTCCTGATCAGTGATCAGGACCAAGTTGATGGGCCATCTGCCAAGTTCATCACCAGAGCAATTTGAACCTTGAGCCAGACCAGACTGTGACAGCTCAGTACTGAACCATACAAGATGGAACCTGACCCAAGTAGCTGCTTCCTGAGCACAACATGTCCTACAGATAACAAGCTAAAGTTAAGTCAGCTATTTTCTCAGCCCATACATGAGGAAAAGAAGACTAGAGTGAGGATGCCAACATAAAATGACAGAAGCAAAATTAACCAAAGTGCATAAAAGACTACTTTTCTAGTTTAATATTTCATACATGAGATAAGATATAGGTTCCTGGACATCATCAATAGCAGAGTGACAGAACCAAACAAAGATAATTTAAAATCAAGTGTTCAAGTAACGTAGAGCAGGTTTTCTATAAATTCACTCAAATCAACTTATTACCTCAGCTCCCAGCATGGATTGAATGGTCCTGATATAGGTCTCTATCCGGTCATCCTTTAGTTCAACCCAGGCCGGTGGGCTCATTCGCATGCCAATGGGGCCAGCTATCTTCTCTAACATGTTAACCAGCTCTCGGGCCTGATCCATTGCTCTCTTTGGGTAAAAGACTGCCCAGAAATGCATGGGGACCTAGAAATAACCACAAGCTATTTTAGTACTTTCCACACTTGAACATTCCAAACTCATACTCAGGAGCTTATATTCTTGAGAATAAATTACTTTTCACTCCCTCTGCTTGAGTCCTGTCTTATCCAATTTCTATTACTAACACAAAAGTGTGCGATAAATGAATTATGGCACTTTCTCACAACGGAATACTATACAGCAATGAGAATGGAAGATCTACAACCATACCTAACAATATACATGAAAATCATCAACATAAGGTTGAAAGAGAGAAGCTAGACAAAAACGAATATATACTCTAAGACTCTATTCATAGATAAAGTACAAAAACAGCTGAAACTCATCTATGCTGTCCTATGAAGTCAGGACAGTGGTTATCCTTGGTATGTGTGGGGGTGAGGGGTAGGTAGTTAATAGGAGCATGGAGGTGGGCTTCTAGGGTACTGGTAAAGTTCTGTTTCTTAATCCTTGGTGTTATTACACAGGTCTGTTTAATTTGTGAAAATTCATTAAGCTATATACTTAAAGTGCACTTTTCTTTGTATGTATTATATTTCAATAAAAAGTTTTAAAAACAGATATGTGTGTTTTACATATGTCCATAAAGACCAGGTTGACCAAAAATATTTACAAATAATTATATACCATTTTGTTCTTTGACGAAAATAGCTAATACATTAGTTGACTTGGTGATATACTGTTTTAACATCTTTCGTGGATAAAAACACACTCCAGGAATGAGCAGGGAAAAAAATGGGAAAATAGAGAAAAGAGACGTGGGGAAGAAGGAAGACAGAAAGGAGACTGGGTGATAAGTCACCAGAGTGACTTACTTCCTCTTCATAAGTCTGTGGTCAGGCAAAGGGCTAACTCCTAACAATTCATCAACTTACTCTATTTGCAGAACCCCTGTCCTGTTTTGCAGATAATTCAAGATAAGAATTCAGTTGTTACTTTCTCTCAAAAAGAGGACACTATCATTCCTGCTTCCCTAATTTCCACACTTTTGAGAATACTGGTCCTATATTTACCACTTGAAAAATCACTTACAGTCAAAATGGAAAGGTCTCTGGTTACTTCCTTAATCCAGTTGAGTTCCTGAGATGTGGTAAATGAAGTATTTCTTAAATTAATTCTTTCCATTGGCAGAACTCGTCCTTCAATCTAAACAGAAAACAACGTATCTATGACACGAGCCACCTATAAACAGTATTTAGAAAAATACTGACAGTGTCTTCTTCGAGGCCTGGTCAGCTCCACCATATAGGTTTGTCCCTATTATAATTTTTAAGAATGGCAGAAAAATGCAACTGCTAGCAGAGGGGTCCATGTCATGAGAACCAGACATATACAAGTAAAATCTCACAGGCTCTGCTCTTCTGTTACTGAAGCTTCCAACGTGGCATCCCAAGGTAAGGATTAGAAAACACTGTCTCTACAGAATGGATATAAAACAGCTATAACTTTGAAGTCAACAGGAAAATAATCATTGAAAAATATTTTAAGGAAAAAAACTGAAAGAAAATAAAAGACTATTTTTTAAAATAAGACTGAACATAGACTACTATTACATTTTCTACAAGAAAAAAAGCTGAAGGGAAAAACATAAATATAATGAAAGAACAAATTAAGAACAATAAATAAATAAATAATAAATCAATTTGATCTAAATATCCAGTAAGATAACTAAGCTGATGATACATCTGTATGATGGACTACTTTGCTACTGTTGAAATCGTTTTCTAACTACATGTAATATGATTCTATCTTTGCAAAATTAAATAGTAATGTATAAATCGTAAAAATTGAATGAGCCCAAACTTGGTAGTGATTATCTCTGGGAGAGGTGTAATTATGAAGGATTTTACTTGTTATGATCTCCACTGTTTGCTTTTTTTTTAAAATAACACTTATCTATAATGAAAAAAGTTTAAATAATTTTTACAGTATTATAAACAACAATAACCATATTAGCAAGGGTGTAAGGAATCAGACTGTCTCATCTTCTGCTCATGAAAGGAAAAAATTGTTGACTCCTTCTAGAGGGAAATATGGCAATATATAATAAAAGCATTAAAAATCATAAATACCCCAATTTAATAATTTCACTTCCATAAATTTGAGCTAGGTAAATAACGTGCAAAGATTTAGTTACAAAGATGTTCACTACATCACTATTTATAACAGCAAAATACTAAAAAAAAATTCAATTTAAATATGTAAGAATAGCAAATTGTTAATAAAATATCATGTAGTCATGAAAATATTTTTAAAAATATAAAATGATATGGGAAAACATTCAAAATATATTGAGAAAAAAAAAACAGATGAATGCATACACTGGGGGTGTGTGCATGTGTGTGTACAAAAAAAAGACTGTAAAGATATACACCAAACTGTTAACAGTGGTTATTCTGATGTAGCAAGATTATAGGTAGACACTCTTCTTCTTTGGCTTATGTTTTCTACACATTCAAATAATATTCAATAACATTAAAACATGTTCTTGATATAATATTAAGTGGAAAAGAAGATGCAAAACCATATATACAGTATAATAAAAATTTTGTAAAAAAAAGATTCTCACAGAAAAACATTTTAGGAAAAAGAAATATACTGAAAATATTATCTTTTATATGTGTCTGAAATAAATTACTGAGATATTATCTTTGGGTAAGGCAATTATTATTTTTATTTCCTTCTTTATGTTTTCTAGAGTTTTTAAAATTCTCCTTATTGACTAAACATTAATACTCAAAAAAATAACATTCTGAAGAAGGAGTCAATTGAGAACTAGAGAAAGGTTAGAATTCATTGTTTTGGCATAATCTCAAAAGAAAGGCACAAATTAATAATAGCTAATACTTACGGAGCACTTGCTATATGCCAGATATTACAATAAAGATGCTGTCATTAAATTCTTTTAACTCAGTCATTATCCTCATTTTACAGATAAGGAAACTGAGGCTCAGAGATGCTAAGCAAACTGCTCAAAGTAACCAAGATGGCAAATGGTGAAGCTAGGATTCAAAACTAAGTGAGCTGACACCAAAGCTCAGAGATTTAACAACTTCCCTATACTGTCTCTCTACTATGAATCATGGCTGCACAAAATAAAACATAGCTGATTCAGGCAAACTTCAGGCTGAAAGGGCCACAAAAAAATTGGATTGTAGAAGTCTGAGACTCTCTTATGCCAATAGAAAGCAGTATATTCAAGGAAACACTAGTTAATTATTGGGAAAGAAAAATAAATAGAATTCTGAAATTAAAAAAAAAAAAAGGAAGGAAAAGATGTGGAACATTTGGAAAACTAAAAATAAGGTGAAAATAAATAAATACTCCTTTTGCTATCTATTTGACTGGAAAGTACCAGCTTAAATCCCTAGAAAATACAGGGAAAAATTCTGTAAGAGATACTAACAAATTAAGTCAAGGAAATTCAAGTACCATAACTGGGGCCAAAAAAAAAAAAGAGTATTAAGAACAAAGCAAAAACTCCAAAATAAAGACAAGATAGAAAGTTATCATTTAGTCTTAAAATGCTTTAAAATCCTTAGTTAATGTTGTTTCCTCTCCCCATCAACATCTTCTTCCAGTTTACCTTATGTACATCATTTTGAAGACAGAGACCCCAACGTGTCATTTCATTGCGAGCTGTCTCATTCTTCGAAATTCTCTGTAGCAAACATTCCAAAGCATTATGGTGCTGTTTAGGGCTCAGATTGATCTGCTGAGTCAAATCCTAAATAAAATTAAAATGGAGATAAGTTATAAGTATTACTTCAACAAATACGAGGTTAAATAAGCCCCAGTGTTTAAAAATGTCTCTATAAGAAACCTTCACATTGAAATCAACAGAAATTTTCAAATATCTCCAAGGACTTTAATGAGTATCTCCCAGCAATGTGAATGAGGTGTGAAGTTAACAATTCAATAACAAAGGTAATAATTTTAAATGTTATTGGCTCTTTCTCTCTCATGACACTCAAGTCTTAACTCTTTCTCAAAACATGGTCTGAATTTAAAATTCCTAAAAGATAAACCAGACACAAGCAAAGCAGGCTTGACTACAGGTACTTAGTATCTGGGGAAAAACAGAAAAAAAGAAACTATGTCACAGTCCAGGGATTCAGTCAAACACAAATGAGTAGAAAACCACCTCCAGTTTTACACTTTATGTTATAGTATATTAGGCATTTAGTGCCATCATATGACACTTCTTTTGTCCAGAACTTGCCACAGTGTTAGGCCCGTAATAGGTGAGTGCTAAATATTTATTGTGAAACAATGTCTAACAAGTATGTATGAAGACTCTATATCACGTAAGTGAATTCTTCACTTATTCTTCTGGGACTAATGAATTGTACAGCTATTGTTCCCTGTGAGGCAGTCATTAGGGTCAGTAAGCCTATTTAAAAAAAAAAAAAAACACAACAAACTCATTGCTGTTGAGTTGATTCTGACTCATAGTGACCCTGCAGGACACAGTAGAACTGTCCCATAGAAACCCTATGTTTCTAAGCAGCAGCTGGTGGATCTGAACTGTTGACCTTTTGCTTAGCAGTCAAACTCTTAACTACTGCGCCACCAGGGTTCCAGTAAGCCTATGGGGCTATACATATAGCTCTGTCGTCATAAAGTCATTAGGTAACTGAGAGTTGTGAGGAAGGAGCCTTGGACCTACATATGAAAAGCAGAAGTATCAGAAGGTAAGCATGAAAGAAGTCTCTTACAGGAATTTCACCTAGGGCTCTTCATGCTACTAAAAATAATGCGGCACCTGAGACAAGCATGAATCCAAGGGTAAGACAGACAAGGATGGAGAAAGTGAGGCAGCAGAAAGTAGCTCAGTTGTGGAAAGCCTCAGGAGTCACAGAGTGTGGAGGTTAAGCACTCAGGTTCTGGACTCCACTGGGAGTCCACATCCACTGCTGTAAACATCTCAGTTTCTCAGCTATTTCCTACGGGACTGAGCCTAACACATACAGTGAACTCAGAGCCCCACAAGATAAACTTCCACCCTTTTGCCTCATGCCATGACTTGCTGACTTTTGCTACACTATCTCCCTCCATACCGTCAAATAAAAGGAAGGCTTACGGAAATGTCAGAATAATTTAGCGCTCTCAAAGAACCTCATTTTTGGTCATATGATCAGTTTATCATCATGTGATTGGAGAGGGTAAACAGTTCTTTCTTTCTTTTATCTTATAATCCGTCCCTCTACTGTTCTAACAACCTTCAAAAGGACGCTCAAGTAGGTTTTTTCATATTGTGTGTGGGAAGGGGCATGGAACGTGTTTTACAGAAGAACAAGTGGAGCTTGGAAGAACTGACCTGCCCATGTAACAATGCAAGCCAGTATCGGAGCCAGAATCTGGCCCAGTTCTAGGTCAAACTGCTATCCAAAACACCTTCTGCTCAAACCAGGCATTTCCTACTAAAAATAGCAAGATTCCAACCTTCATGGCTCTGAAGTCCTTCTTCATTTTCTCTGGGATTCCGGTCATGAAGGAAAGCTCAGGTAGTAGCAGTATTTCGCCTTTTAGCAACTTTGAAGAGAGAACAGAGAGGGAAAACAAGGCAATCAAAAAGGATACTATTCCCCTGACCTGTACAAGACATACCATTGCCCTGGGCTGATGCTGTAGTGATATAGCTTATACAACAAGGAATATAATATCCTGGGTAAGAAGGCAGTGAAACACTAGTAGAAGTATTTCATCCTTTTCTCCCCTTGGTCACAACATACATAGCCTGTTGTATTAGATAAAGGGGAAAACATAAAACTGTCAAAAAAGAGACGAAAAACTAAAAAATAGAAAAAAAAATTATTTCCCTCTTGGGCCCCAAGACAATTTTAAGACCAAATCCAAAAACCAAACTTGTTGCCATTAAGTCGACTCCAACTCATAGCGACCCTATAACAACAGAGTAGAACTATCCCATAGGGTTTCCAAGGCTGTAATATTTATGGAAACAGATTGCCACATCTTTCTCCTGTGGAGGTGCTGGTAGGTTAGAACCTTCTGGTTAGCAGCTGAGTGCTTAACCACTGCACCACTAGGGCTCCTAATTCTAAGATAATACGTCCTATTCAGCGGTGTGCTTCAATCTCATCTTATTCTTCTGATTTTCAGTTTTCACATTTAAGACAGAGGAGTCAGGCGTCAAGGCACTTTCCCCTGACCCTTACCGCTGTTGAAATAAGTGTCTATAACTTCCCTAACAGATCCAATTTTTAAATCTTCATTAGTAGGAAATTCTACTTATTCCTTTAACCTAAATCGCTCATGGAGATATTTAGCTCCTCCTTGTGGAGACTTCAAAAGCATATCCAACCAGTGTGAAGTAGCAAATGGCTACATTAAATGAACAAAACCCTGCACAGCTTTTCCCAACCATACTGTAATCATTGATCCGTGGCTTCCATAGAGCCTTGAAGAAGACTAAAAATAGATGATAGAATGCAGAACCTAAGCTGGAAGTGTAAGCCTGACACCTCCCCACTCACCATCCCTTGGTTATTCTGTCTCTCACTGGGCCTGTGGATCAGCAGTGGCTGGTCCTCTTCCTTAATTGTAATCCCATAGTTTTTGCTAGAGCAGGGTAGAGGCAGGAAAAAATTTCAGAAGCATCATCACTACTCTTATAGCAACACAGTCTGAGTCTCTTAACCAGGACTGGATATATAATTTGCATAATACCCTCTGTCAGGGATCCATCAGAAACGGACCATAATCTATTTATAACCAGAAAAAGTAGGCTCAAGTTACATTGCAAATTAAGTAAGGTGAACAGTATATGAGACTTTGTCAAACACCGCATCAGGCTAAAAGGCTTAGGCAACTAGAAAGGTGAAATGATTACTGACTTGAATTTAATCTCTGCAACCAGTCTTCTAATCAAACCAGCAAAAGAAATACAATTCAAAGCCCTGCAACCAATTTACAAAGTAACCTCCACAAGTATTAAATGAAGCTGTAAAGATAGCATATTCAGGTCAAATCCCAAAGACGAGCTCAATCTATCTTAGGCACATTACCAATCCAATTATTTTAAGTGTTAAGTTGTATGCTATTATGGAACTCAATATCCTGTTAGAGACTGGCAGAACACATCCTACCCTCACACTGAGGCCCAAACCCAGTCTCTTCTACCTGTAGTATTCCAAGAATGTGATCTCCTTCCCATCAGACATTGTGAAGCTATCTTTTGGAGTCTTATTCCAGTCCACATCATCAATACGATAGGTGCGGTTGTTGTAACGGGTTATAACAATATTTCCAACCAGAAGCTTAGTGCACTCATCCTGGAAGTTTTCTTTGTTCTGCTGATACATGGCATGCCTTTGGAAAGAGAGACAAAAGACTTCCGGATCACATTTGTAGGGGCAGACCAATATAAAAGCGACAGAGGGAGCAAGCAAATAATTCCAGGGTATAATCAGAGCTACATAGCACCAGAAGGCTTCCGTTGTCTCTTTTAGGAGATGGGACTCTCACCTCTTTTATAAAAGAAAAAAAAAAGATTAAAACAGCAACTATAAATAAAATTCACTGCATTCCTTAAAATAAAAGTACTTTTATCATCAAAATAATTATTCTATATCATCATTATTAGGACTTAGCCTACAGAGGCAGAGTAGAAAATTCTTTAAACTATATTTGCCTTTTCCTAGCTGAAGGAAGAAATTACAGATACCTATCAGAAGACAAGCACTGGTTAAAATGCTAAAGATGTTTAGAAAAAAAGACGTACAGTACACAAATATGCTCTCGTGGTAACCTCTATAATGCTGTAAACAAGGCAACACAGGAAACTTGCACGAAGCGTGTGTAAATATGGCCAGAGATGTCAAGGAAAGTTTATAGAAGAGGTATGCTTGAGTTGATACTTGAAGGAGAAATCTGTTAGGCAGAAATGGCTGGCTCACAGGAATGAGCAACACTGCAAGCAAAGGAACTGGTTCTGATTTAGGAAATAATATTGGAGTTATTATTCCCTCTCCTTGAACATAGAGAATGTGACCCAGCTGGAGCTGGGCTCACAAGGAATCACAAGGACACATCAACTGGGCCCTGAAGTATAAAGACAGTAGCTAAAATAATCCTGGAAAATATCTTTTAGGGAAACTTTCACATAAAGCCAACCAAACAGAACAAAAAAGACTTTCCACTCTTACCTTTTTATATCAGCATTTACGGAATAGAAATTTGTTGGACCAATGAAGACCCTCCTGACTCTCCTTACTGAAACCTCTATCAATCATTGTTAAGAAAGACTACTTAAAATGTAGGAAAAAAACTCAGCTTTCAATGGTTTTGCCCATGTGTAATGTTAATATATACTGATAACTCCGTAACTGTTCTCTGGACTCAGGAAGACATGGCTGTGGCAGCATGCTTCTCCGTTTTCCCATGCTTGCCTATTCTGTGATATTCTTTGGACTCGGGTAGACATGGCTCTAGCAGCATGCTTGTCTGTTTTCCCACTTTTGTCTGTTCTGTGGTATTTCCTCGGACTCGGGCAGACATGGCTCTGGCAGCATGGTTGTCCATTTCCCACTTTTGCCCTTTTGAATACATCTCGAATAAAATTTTCTTTTGCTTTACTAAACTTTGTGATGTTCCTCCCCTATAACAGTACTTAGGGGACAATCAGGTGTCTGGTATTGGGCATAAGGAGGAGGTCAAGGAGGCAGAAATTAGTAAGCAATAAGGCTGAAGCCAGGTAGGGACCGGAAATAAATTTCTGTGTAAGTCAAGGATCAGAGCTTGGATGTTTTTTCTGGAGACCAGTGTCACCCAAGGTGTACTTCTCAGGAACACTACTTCCTTGAGAGGCAGAGAGGGGGTGGAAAGGTTTCATGATCAAATTTAGGCCATTCTGCGTATTACAACCCCTTCTTGGAGAGCCATAACACACATTACACATCAGGCTCTGAAAAGTACTAAACTAATCTATTTAGCTTCGTTTACCTCCAATTCAGTTAACCACAGACTCCTCCCTGTCCTTTTAATTTTTAGCACCATTTGGCTCCTGTCATGGACTGAATTATGTCCCTCAAAAATATGTCAACTTGGCTAGATCATGATTCCCAGTATTGTATGATTATCTACTATTTTATCATTCTGATGTGATTTCCCTGTATGTTGTAAATGCTATCACTATGATGTAATCAGATGGATCAGCAGCAGTTATATTGATGAGGCCTACAAGATTAGGTAGTGTCTTAAGCCAATCTCTTTCGAGATATGAGAGAGAAATGAGCAGAAAGACATGGGGACCTCATAACACTAAGAAAGCAGTGTTGGGAAAAGAGCGTGTCCTTTGGACCTGATGTTCCTGCGCTGAGATTCTCCCAGCCCAACAGAAGACTGATACATCACAAGGACCTTTCTCCAGAGCTGACGGAGAAAGAAAGCCTTCCTCTGGAGCTGATGCCTTGAATTTGCACTTGTAGCCTACTAGACTGTGAGAGAATAAATTTCTCTTTGTTAAAAGCCATCCACTTGTGGTATTTCTCTTATAGCAGCACTAGGTGACTAAGACAGAATTTGGTACTGAGAGTGTGGTGCTGCTCTAACAGATACCTAAAATGTGGAAGCGATTTTGAAACTGAATTGATAGAGAAGCGGCAGTGGCAGAGAACCAGCAGCAGCAGAACCAGGAGACCAGTGCGAGACGGCGCTGGAGCCGACCCACAGAGCAAGAGAACTGAGTGCCTGTGCACAGGAGGCTTCCTGGTGGAGTAGGGTGCCACCAGGCAATAAATCGGTGGAGCTACAGAGCTTTGGAACACTTGCCCCAGCAAGGCAGATGTGGGCATGAGGCCTGAGGGCTTAGAGGCCACAGGAAGCAGAAGCTGAAGACACAAGGAACACAAAAAGCCCATCTGCCTCAGTCTCAAAAGCTATGGCCATGACCTCTGGGATTTCAAAGGGTGGAGCCATGGCCTTTGGTGTTTCTAAGGGTGGAGTCACTACTCAGAGGCACTAGTAGAATGGTGCACCTAAAGCCAAGGGAACAGAATCCAGTAGGCCTGGAAGGCAGAGCTGAAGCCCAAGGCTGAGCGGCCTCCACTCAGAATCTGGAGAGCATGGCCAATACCTAGAGTCTAGAGGGCAGGGCTATTGTGTAAATGGTCTCAGAATACAAAAGATTATTTTCAAGCCTTGAGGGCTAATGTAATGCGTTATGCTAACTTGCTTACTGCCTGTTATGCCTTCTTTCCCTGCAATTTCTCCCATTTGTAATGGAAGTATCTAGCTTGTGCATGTTCTGCCATTGTACCTTTGGAAGTAGATAACTTGTATTCTAGATTTCACAAATGAAGAGGATTTCTGAATTTTGGACTTGAAGTTGATTTAAGTCTTTTGCTATGATACGATGGGGTGAATACGTTTTACATGTGGCAAGGACATGAATTTTTGGGGGCCAAAGGGTGGAATGTCATGGATTGAATTGTGTCCCCCCAAAATATCTGTCAATTTGGCTAGGTAATGATTCCCAGTATTGTATGATTGTCTATTTTATTATCTGATGTGATTTCCTTAAGTGTTGTGAATGCTATCACTATGATGTAATCAGATGGATTAGCGGCAGTTATACTGATGAGGTCTACAAGATTAGTTAGTGTCTTAAACCAATTTCTTTTGAGCTATAAAAGAGACGTACGAGCAGAGAAATATGGAGACCTCATATCACCAAGAAAGCAGTGCTTGGAGCAGGGTGCATCCTTTGGACCTGAGGTTCCTGTGCTGAGATGCTCCCAGACCAAGGGAAGACTGATGCTCACAGGCACCTTTCTCCAGAGCCCACAGAGACAGAAAGCCTTCCTCTGGAGCTGATGCCTTGAATTTGGACTTGTAGCCTACTAGACTGTGAGAGAATAAATTTCTCTGTTAAAAGCCATCCACTTGTGCTATTTTTGTTATACCAGCACTAGATTAACTAAGACAGCTCCTATTACCACTCTGGGTAATTGGTACTCTGCAGAACTTGAAGCTCACCAGGAAACCAAGGAAGGCCAGGGCTATAGAGGCTGAAAAAGAGAAGAATTTCACCCCAAGAGCCAAGAGAGAGATAGCCTTTCCCTAGCCCCCAGAAGTGTGAAAATAAATTTTTCTTTAAAGCCACCCACTAGTGGTATTTCTGTTACAGCAGCACTAGGCAACTAAGACACTACTCCTTCGTATTCACACCCCTCCCCCCTTTCCCACTGATCTGTTCTCTATCTCTATAGTTTTGTCATTTTGAGAATGATATATAAATGAAACCATAAAGTATGTAACCTTTAGAGATTGGCATTTTTCACTATGCATAATCTCCTTGAGATCCATCCAAGTTACTGCAACTATCAATCGTTCCTTCCTTTTTCTTGCTGAGTAGTATTCCACATGGGATTGCCATGATTTAGAAATAACTCAATGGCAATTAACTAACAACATTCCAGTGTACAGAGGTACCAGAGTTTAACCATTCATCTGTTGAAAGACATCTCAGTTGTTCGCAGTTTTTCACTATTACAAATAAAGCTGCTAGGAACATTTGTGTAATAGTTTTTGTGTGAACATAAGTTTTCATTTCTCTGGGAAAAATGCCAGGGAATGTGACTGAGAAGTCATATGGTAAGTGCATGTTTAGTTTTATAATAAGCAGCCAAATTATTTTCCAGAGTATCTCCACCATTTTACATTCCCACCCACAGCGTACGAGGGACTCAGTTTCTCTACATCCTCACCAGCATTTGGTATTGTCACCATTTTTTATTTTAGCTGTTCTAATAGGTGTGTAGTGATATCTCATTGTACTTTTAATTTGCATTTCCCTAATGGCAAATCATGTTGAACATCTTTTCATGAACTTATTTACCATCTATACCATTTCTTTGGTGAAATGTTCATCTTTTGCTCATTTTTTTATTGGATGGTTGAATGTATTTATTCTTTACTTTAAAAGTTGTAGATGTTCATTGTAAAAAAAATAAAAGCACGATTATAGAACACAGAAATAGAACACTGGTTATAATCCGTTTGATAGAAGACCACTTTCCTTTTGTTTGTCTTAAATTTGAATATATTAATAATTTCCTGAAAAAAACAGAATTAGAGTTCCGGCAAAATGGCGCTCTAGGTAGAAGCACCACGCCGTCCCTCCACAGCAAAGATCCAAAAACTAAGCCAAACAGAGAATACAACAATCCTGAAACCCTAAAACATCAACTGAAGAGATAAAGAACTCAGCCAAGCACCAAATGGAGTGAAAAAACTGACAGAGAACGGACAGCGAGGAGAGATTC